TTAGTGCCCAAACACGCCCCAACTGTAGGATACTGAAATGCCCCCGTCCGCCAAGTCCACCTGTGAAACACCAGCTGCCTCCTGAAGCAAACCGGCTGGCAAGCTGACTTTCGCAATGGCAATGCCGGAAAGGTCGCAATGCAAAGAAATGCGCTCGAACTCGAAGTTTATCTCACCTCTGTGAACAGCTCAGGGGTTTCAAAGGGTTTAGGGTCTAGTAGGTGTAGCATATGAGGTTTGGGAAAGTTTAGGATCTGGCCTCTAGGCGAAGCCACTGCCACCCCGGAGAACTTCGCTTCGTTGAAGCTGTCCCCGACGCCTATGCCCTGCGCACCATGGTTCACAGACATTTTGGCTTCGCCATACCCGTAGGAGTTCTCCTCATGGACCATGTAGATCTGGTACAGGTACCGTGCCGCTGGCGTCAGGCCCTTCACGACTGCAGTGGATACCCCGTTTTTGTCTGTGAGAAAGCCCCGTGCCACGTCTCGGGTTCTTGTCCACCCTGTCAAGTCTGCTTTGTAGCCGTTGGCCAGGTCGACTTCGAAAGTTTGGTGACTCACATGCCACAAATTTTGATTCCCCCAAAAGTCGAAGTTCTTTTCGGTTTCCGGGGCAAGATGCTCCGAAGCCTCGAGCACGGCACCTGCCCTCAGCTTCCACTTCAAGTAGTCGACCGTGGCCACCATTTCCGCTTCTGACAACACCCTGTCCCAGGTGATCACCTCCATGACTGCAAAGTCAGACTTTTCATCCCAGCCATTGTTGATGTAGAGAGGTATGGTCTCCGTGAACTTCACCGGTGCTGTGGACTGGGACGCAATGTTGGCCGGGGCGCCGGACGAAAAACCATCAAACGCTCGTTGCGCACCGTTAGTGCCGCATAGCACAACCCAGTCAGAAACATCTTTGTGCCTTTGATCAGACGTGAGCCAACCGTTGTAGTACGCAACACCGGCGTGGCCATTGTGGTGGCCATGGAGCCAGTTGTTTGCCTTTCTGGACTGCAAAAGGCGCTTTTTGTGCGGACCGCTATAACGAGTAATGGAGCAGACGGTGTGGGTCGGGGGAATCACGGACCCGAAGTCGTAGCCTGACCTCATGCTTCGGAGGTTCTCGCAAGCACAGTCTACACTCAATGAACCCAATTCAAAACCACACGAAGTTCAATACTGACAACACGAACCAAAGCAGCTCAGTGACCATGTGTAGCCCTCGATGAAAGTAACGGGGCGATCGGCTCCGTTGCCCGCTGCCACTCGCCGGTAGACGCTGTTCCCTGGGTTCCAACTGAGGTATACTCACTTGACCCCTGGGTCCGAGTAGAGGTGCTCAAAGTAAGCTTATCAGGGCAGCATACGATACTTACGATCTATCCTGATACTGGCAGCTTCAATTAAGTGCCTGAACGAGAGCCGAGTTTCTGTCGCAATGGCCCTCAAAGTCTCCCACGGAGCTGGGCCATACAGATCCAGCGTTCTCGCTCCTGCGATGGATATAATCTTCCCTGCTAGCTGCAGTTAGCAGAATCTTGTCATTTCTGTCAGCAGAGTGAATAGCCGCTCAAATGAGCCGAGGCCACCCCAGCACATGCATCCCAACGCTCCTACACCCCGAGAATACAACCTGCGTTAGCCCGGCCTTGAAGCCCTGTGCTGCAAGAGTCGCGCGCTGTGTTCCCATGTTGCAACTGTGTTCCCCCACAGTGCCGGCGTGCGTGTGCGTGCGCGTGTGCCTGCGTGCCTGCGTGCCTGCGTGCCTGCGTGCCTGCGTGCCTGCGTGCCTGCGTGCCTGCGTGCCTGCGTGCCTGCGTGCCTGCGTGCCTGCGTGCCTGCGTGCCTGCCAGGACGGGCTATAATTGTACCCTATAATCCCTGAAAAAGGCCCTTGATAGGGTTGATTCTAGGGATTCTCGGGCCCACTCGCCCATTCTGGTGCGTGCCTGTGTGTCTGTGTGTCTGTGTGTCTGTGTGTACGTGCCCGCGTGCAGGCAGGCACTCGCTGTACGTACGGCCAATGCATCTGGTTTAGCATTTGACCTCTTCTCCCGTAGCCTTGTCATCACCAGTCAATATGACAGAAACTGCAGGATTAGAGTTTGCGTGCCTGTTGACCAGATTTGACAAGCACATGGGACACATGCTACAAACAGAAAGCAAGACAAGAAACTGTTCATCCTCAAGGTGTATCAAGAGCTGCTGTGCAGAAAACAGGTACAAGTATGTCCCAGAGTATCCAGACTTGTGCATTAGGTGCAAGCACGCTTCCCTGCCCCCTCCACAAGCAAGTTCATCTCGGGCACTTCCTTCACGTTAGCTCAACTCCTCTAAAAAAAATTCCAAAACCCCAGGCGAGGTACTTGAACCAGGCATACATGCCCTGCGATGGTGGATCTGCCGGCTTCGCGACAACCGGAGGCTGCCCCACTTTCGCAATGGCGATGCCGGAAAGGTCGCAATGCAAAGAAATGCGCTCGAACTCGAAGTTTATCTCACCTCTGTGAACAGCTCAGGGGTTTCAAAGGGTTTAGGGTCTAGTAGGTGTAGCATATGAGGTTTGGGAAAGTTTAGGATCTGGCCTCTAGGCGAAGCCACTGCCACCCCGGAGAACTTCGCTTCGTTGAAGCTGTCCCCGACGCCTATGCCCTGCGCACCATGGTTCACAGACATTTTGGCTTCGCCATACCCGTAGGAGTTCTCCTCATGGACCATGTAGATCTGGTACAGGTACCGTGCCGCTGGCGTCAGGCCCTTCACGACTGCAGTGGATACCCCGTTTTTGTCTGTGAGAAAGCCCCGTGCCACGTCTCGGGTTCTTGTCCACCCTGTCAAGTCTGCTTTGTAGCCGTTGGCCAGGTCGACTTCGAAAGTTTGGTGACTCACATGCCACAAATTTTGATTCCCCCAAAAGTCGAAGTTCTTTTCGGTTTCCGGGGCAAGATGCTCCGAAGCCTCGAGCACGGCACCTGCCCTCAGCTTCCACTTCAAGTAGTCGACCGTGGCCACCATTTCCGCTTCTGACAACACCCTGTCCCAGGTGATCACCTCCATGACTGCAAAGTCAGACTTTTCATCCCAGCCATTGTTGATGTAGAGAGGTATGGTCTCCGTGAACTTCACCGGTGCTGTGGACTGGGACGCAATGTTGGCCGGGGCGCCGGACGAAAAACCATCAAACGCTCGTTGCGCACCGTTAGTGCCGCATAGCACAACCCAGTCAGAAACATCTTTGTGCCTTTGATCAGACGTGAGCCAACCGTTGTAGAACGCAACACCGGCGTGGCCATTGTGGTGGCCATGGAGCCAGTTGTTTGCCATTCGGGACTGCAAGATGCGCAATCTGTGGGACGCACCATCTGGAGTCCTGCTGTAGCGACTGACGGAACAGACGGTGTGGGTCGGGGGAATCACGTTTCCGAAGTCGAAGCCTGACCTCATTCTTCGGAGGTTCTCACAAGCACAGTCTACACACAAAGAACCCGACTTGAAAGAGACAACAAGTTTCCTGCTGCAAGAAAGCCAAGCACACCGTAAACCCCAAGACAATCACAGCTCAGTGGCCATGTGTAGCCTTCGAGGAAGGTAACAGGGCGATCGGCTCCATTCCCAGCTTCCACTCGCCGGTAGACGGTGTTCCCTGGGTTCCAACTGAGGTATACTCACTTTAAGTCTAAGTTTCCGCAGATGTGGCTCCAATCTTGGAAACTTGAAGCCGAAATCCTGATTTGAAATATGTGGTTTAGGGTTTAGGGCTTAGGGGCTTCAACAAGAACCCAGTTACTGTTGCAACGGCCCTCGAAGTCTCCCACGGAGCTGCGCCACACGCTCCCCGCGTTCTCACTCCTCGGCGATGTGTTCTGAAGCCAGGGTATGCTTTGCTAAGGGTTTCATGGTCCGACATTGCGCTCTTATTTCCTCTAGAGTCGGCCCAAGACCCTAAACATGAAATGACAGCATCCTTGTCTATGTCCGGAGCCCCGAACAAGGACCCTTCGCCATTCCATCACTGACATCGAAATCATGTCGAAATCCCGCACCAGCCGCTGCAAGAGCCTTTCGACCCTGGACACCAGGCTCAAGAACCACGACTCTGATCCCTAAACCGCATCCTGTATGCAATCCATGTTTTCAGATGAAGCTCTCAAACCACGCAAACATACCCTCGGCGGGTGGGCTTGCCGGCCTGGGTGGGTTTTGGGCGGTAGAGCTTGGGGGTTCCCTGGTTGCAGGTTGCCGAGTTTAGGGTGTAAAGGTTGGTTGAAGGTTGAAGGGTTTGTGGTTGAGGGTTGAGACGTTTTGTGGGATGGCAGTTTGGTTTATTTCCGTTTGTGATCTCGAGCTTGTGCTGATGCCCCTGTAGTGATGATGACGACGACGATCATGGTGAAGACGATGATGATGATGATGATGATGATGATGATCAGGATGGCGGTGATAATGATGGTGACGATGATGAAGCTGATGTTGATGATAATGACGGCAACGATGAGAACGACGAGGGGCACGATGATGATGATGATGATGATGATGATCACAGCAACGATGATCACAACAATGATGGTGACGACGATGATGATGGTGGTGATGAAGCTACTGACGCTGATGATGATCATTGTAAGGGAGACGACGATTCAAACGACACTGGTGATTGCGACACATCATCACCATGAACATCGCGATTACGCCCAGTATGGAAACCAGTGGTTTCCATTCCGGGCAAAGTTTCACCAGAAAATGCCAGGACCACCATCGCGATCTCCATTGTGGCCATCATCAGTATCATCATCAGCCGCATCATCCTTACAATCCTGTTCATAACCATCAGGATCGGCATCGTCACTGTACCCATCCTCATCATCATCCGACATATCCATACGCTCATGACACTTAGCCCTACACTCCCCTGTGATCACCACTGCTGACTCCTGAACGGTTCATACTGCATAATCGGCACAGCGGCTTTGGCGGCAGATTCAGGGTGGCAGCATTGCCAGCCGACGCCGACGCGGGGTTTGCGCTTGGACTGAAGGCCATCGACAGGAAACTCCTGCTAAGTTTTGGCGACTTGACGGTTCATAAATTAAATGACCTCACGAACAAAAAACTTGTGTGTGTGTGTCTGGGTGTGTGTCAGGGGGTGTGTGTGCATGAGCACAAATCAGAAGCGTGTGCACGTGCTGAATGTGCTTCTCATATTCGTATACGCAGAACTCATGTACAGATCCCAGTTGCGCTATGAGCATGCAAAATACAATTCTGCGTGCGTACCCTTTTTTGCTTCACCCTAAAACCCTCAACCCTAAACCACAAAGTATGCATGCCTGCGCCTGCCTCCCCTTTACCCTGAGACCGAAGCCCCCAACCCTGACCCTGAACTGTAGATCCCAAAGCCTACCTCTACACCAAACTCACCAAACCACCCTTCCACAAGACATAAGTCCAAGTTAGGGTTCGGGGTTTAGGGTTGCGGGTGTGCCGACCTTGTGCCGAAGCCCTAAACCCCTTCAGCCAGTAACCCCAGACCCCAAAACCTCGATCAACACCACTCATCTGCGGACCAGGACCAGGGCCCTGCACCCCCAAGCTTTGAAACCGACGTCCTGCGAAGGGAGGTGGCCCAACATTTCACCTCAATTCGACGAAGACGATATCTCCCGGCTGTCAATGTAAAGCGGCTGGAATCCTGAATTACCCTGAGCTGCTAAACCTGGGGCTCTCCCACGGGTTTGGGGGTGTGTGGATTCCAGTTGAGGGCTTGGAAGTGTTGAAAAGGGTTTAGGGGTTAGAGGTTAGGGTTTATAGCTTTAGGTTTAGGGTTTCAAAGGCGCAGTCCCATCCAATGCCTAAATGAACCCCGCGCCCGAGATCCTACGTCTGAGAGAAACCAGGTCCATAACTTAGCAGTAACTTCGATGGTGGGGCTCGTATACAGGGGCCTTAGTCAGTAGAGTTTAGGACGGAAGAACACTTTATACACATATATATATATATATATATAGGATTTATTTACTTTTACATATATATATATAATATTATAATATTTTCACGCTTCTATATCAGGTACGTGCGGAACCCCGAACCTCATCAACGAACATATCGTAGGTCTGAGGAACATATTGGTTTCTGGTCAGAATCCAAGCCTTTTCCAGACAAGTTCGAAATAATTGAAGGCTCTCTCGATAGATCCTGATAAAGGTACTTTGAAAGATACACGTAACGTGACCCCAAACGCTAAAGTTCGAAATCCCGCAACTCCAATCTCATCTGACACGACGCTCTTTATGGCCCTAAAATGCCGAGACCCCTAAGTTCGCAGAGAGTGAGGATGCCAGCCCCACCAACCGACATACAAGGCTGCCAGTGCCACACGGGCACAAATACAGAAGTTTAGCTATGCACGGCTGGTGGTTCGGACAGTAGGATTTCCGGTTTTGGGGTTTGAGCGGTCTGGGTTTAGGGTTGCGAGTTTAGGGTGCAAACGTTTCAAAACAGATCAAAGCGGCTGCATCGGCAACAGTGCAGCTGGGAGTGCGCGGCATTGCCTCCAAGCAGACGTGCACACTTTCGGAAGTGCGTGTATTCAGAGGTCCGCGGGTCTTGTGCCTTTTTTGGTTGTTTGGGGCGGACGCTTGGGCTCTAGGGTTGAGGGGGGTTGGACTTTCGGGCATGTCGAGTCATGGCTTGAGGCCTTTCATGGTCTGCAAGTTTTGGAAGAAAGACGAAGTTATCCCGTCATCCCTATCTGGCTCTGTAAGACTGTAAGGGAAAAATTAAAGTGCGTCCCAAAGTGCCGCCTAGCCAAAAACGATCTTCAGGTTTTGTAGCTCACCTCTGACTGAGTCTCTTGCACTTACAGGACCCTAAATCCTAAAGCCAAGGACGCCCTTAAAGGAGCCCGCTGATCGTACATGGCGACTTGAATGCTCAGGACACAGGGCTGCTCCTTGGCTTGGTGCCATGCTCTGGGCCTCGGGGCCTCGGGTTATGATCCTCAAGGATTTAATGCTTTAGGGTTTAGGGTTTTATGGTAGTGGGTTTTGGGTTTGGGGTTCCGTGCAGCCAGAAGTAAAGGCATAGGACTTCCCATTTCAGCTGCTGCAGGGCTTCGTGTTCCCTAAACCCAAAAACCGAAACCCTGAAACGTGTAGTCTTCGGGGTTCAGGGCTCAGGGTTTGAACAAAGTCTTATTGGTAGCCCCCATATCTTCCGGGTAATATAAAGGCCTAAATGAGTACCAATACTATTTAGGGAGTTCCTTATTGGAGTTGTTGTGTGATATACCCCAAAACCTGTTCTAATTAATTCTTAAGTCCCCTACATTAGGTAAACCGTTTCCAATCATCTAAGCAGCGGAAATCCTAACAAATACTGGTCCAACCCTGCAAATCCCTCGAACCTACCGTGGGGCAAGTAGACCCTGTGCGGGACCCCTGCTTTGCTGGCACGGAGACGGTTTAGGCTTTAAGGTTTATGGTTTAGGGTCTGGGTTTGGGTTTAGTGCTTCGGTTTTAGGCTTTAGGGTCTAGGGTTTACGTTTAGGGTCTATGGCTTAGTAGGGTTTAGGGGAGACCTTCAGGTCTCCTTCCAAGCTGAACTCGCGGACAAGGTTGTCGCAGCCGGTGAACAAGCCTGAGACTCTTTGGGGGCTTCAAAGAGGGCTTCCAGAAAGGGCTTTCTTAAAGGATTCTATAAGGGCATCAGAAAAAGGTTTAGGCATTTAGGGTCTAGGAGAGAGATCTCAAGGCTGGAAACCTTTCTAGGAATTACAGTATGCTTACAAGGTTGAGACTGTGTCCTTCTAGAGCTCCTGGCGTTTCCAGGGTTACAGGGTCTAGTACTTTGAATGCTTGTCAGGATATTGCAATCTACAGCGCTGTGGCGGTCATACGCTCAATGTGGGAACTAGAGGTACTAGACCCTAAACCCTAAACCCCAGAACCATGAGCCCTAAACTTTAGAGCCCTGGGCCCTAAAAGCCCTAGGAGCTGAAAACCCTACAGAACCTAAACCCTAAACCTCCGGTAGGCGGCCTAGAGTGTAGGGTCTAGGGTTGAGTCCATGAGCTTAGCTGGGAGCAAGCCATACTTCAAGAATCAATCGGCCTGGTAGCTGGGGACGCGAGGAACGTAGCGACAGTTTTATGATTATGCCGAGTGAAAACCCCAACAAAGGTACTTCCAACCGTACTTACTAAGCCCCCAGAGCTCTAAGCAACCTGCTGTTTCGCGCGCAGCTTGAAAGCTCGAAACCTGCGGTTTTGCAGTACTTGCCCCCCCCCCCTTGGAAAAAAAAATCATGGTGCAGGAAGGCCAACCTCTGAGTTTACGTGTTGACAGTCTAAGGTTTAGGGGTTTTTGGCTTTGGGCTCCGGGTTCGGGTCTTCAGGGTTTTGGGCTCAGTGTCAGGGCGAAATTAATAGGCCATTGGATCCGGCGCGTGCCTGCGCCCAGAGGAAGAGGTCGAAAGCGCCAAAACCCTCCAAGCCCTAAGCCCTAAACCCCAGAACCCAAAACCTCCAAAAGCCCTAAAACTCCCAACCCCGACCCTACAACTTACCCTCAAAAACCGAAGCCTCAACCCTAAAACGTTCCCTAAAAGAACGAAGCCCTCAAAGCCCAAACATAAAAAAAGATCCAGACCTAATCTCCAAAGCCTAAAACCCTAAAACCCTCAACCCCCGAACCTCCAAAAAAAGAGTTCCAGGGAACGGCAGGTCGATGCTCCGTGCTGCGAGCCGTGCCTTAGAGACCCCTGGGGTTATTGGGGCTCTTTCGTTTTGTTAGGGTTTAGGGTTCAGGGTTGGCCTCCCTTTGTCCGCCTGCCCACGTCGGCTCGTGGGGTTCTACAGTAGGGTTTCGGGTTTGGGATTTAGGGTTTAGGGTATGGTTTTTTTCGCGAGAAGAAGGGGAATTTGGGTAGTTTACGGTTCTGTTTATGACAAGGGTTCTACAACGGTGAGAACTCAATGTCAGGACAAAGTCAACAAACGACAAAACCTAAAAGCAAGTTCAAGCAAACAAAAAGAAACAAACAAACTCTAAACCCTAAAACCCTGACACGCTAAAACACCCAACCGCAAGACCCCAAAAACCTACAACCGCAAACGCCCCACACCCCAAAACCCCAATCCCTAGACAACTTGTAGAGTTCTGAGAGAACTCCAAATCCCCCAAACCCTCCCCAAACCAAACCGTCTTCCAAAAGGCGACTTGTGTAGAGCCCTTTAACGAAACTTTGCAGGAACCACAACGCTGTATGAACCTACAACCCCTTAGAACCCGACGCCGAAATCCCACCCCCAAAACCAAATCAAACCGTGGTCAAGAGGCCAGAAGAAGAGGCAGGAAGGCTCCTAAAGCCCGTAGACCCCAAAACACAAACCCTAAACTGTAAACCCCAGAACCCAAAACCCTAAAAACTGAAGCCCTAAACCCTAAACCCCCAAACCATCGAATCCCGAAGGTCAGAAGTATAACCCTAATAGAACCAAAGGAAGTCCCGACCCCCTTCACAACCCCTAAGCCAAAGGTTGCCGTCAAGAGGCCAGAAGAAGAGCCAGAAAGCCCCTAAAGCACCCCAAAACCCAAACCCCAAATCCCGCAAACCCTGAACCCCTAAAGCCCCTAAAGCCCTACACCCAAAACACCAAACCCTAAACCCCAATCTTTAAATAAAAGCTAAGCCCGAAATCTCTAAACTCTAAACCGTCGAATCCGGGAGGCCAGAAGAAGAGGCAGGTCGACTGCTCCCGGCATCGCGCCTCGCAGTCCGCCGGCTCCAGGACCTCACGGGACTTCTCTGCTTTGTGTGGTTTAGGGTTTAGGGTTTGGGGTTTAGGGTTTAGGGTTTGGGGTTTAGGGATATAGACCCTCTCAATAACGTCCCTTTTTAAGAGTGCCATAAGTCGGGCTAAGAAGGGTCCTTTTTAAGGGGTCTCCCTAATACTACCTAAGACTCTGCGTTGTGCTCTTTCGATGTTGCGTTGGCATTTCTTCTTTTCCGGGGTTTAGGGGCTTTAGGGTTTAGGGGTTTACGTTTTAGGGTTTAGAGCTGATAGGTTCAGGTTTCGCAAAAGTGTGACCCGGCTTTGGCTTTCGGAGTCCATCAGGGTTCTGTTAGATTGTAAGCTCTAAACGGATTCTACAGGGCATGTTGTATGAGGCTATGTTCGGTTGTTAGATGGTGTTTTTATGCAGTGGTTCGTACAGGAGTCTTGGTAAGATGGTTGAAGCAAGGCTCCACCCTGGGGGTGCCAAATGGTTGCGGTGCCCAAGCAAAGGGGAAAACTGGGCTTTTCGGGTTCTGAGGACTTGGGGTTTTGGATGTAGGAATGAGGAATGTGGTATCTAAGGTTGCCATAGAGGGGCTTACAGCTCAATATACAAGTCCGAAGACTTAGCAATAAGATCATGGTAAGGGTCTCTCTATAGTCATGCAAAATTATCGAGCATAATATAGGGTCCTAAATAATTACCCATACTATCTTCGGGGCTCCTTCTTTTCAATATTATAGAAATTAAGTATAGTATAGTATACCCCAAAACCCTGTTCTTAAGGCCCTTATATTGAAACCGATTCTTATCATTAAGGCCGCTTTGTTGGGGTTTCAGGGCTTAAGGCCCGGCCTCCTCCTCTGACTGGAAGTGCACACCCATGCCGCCTGTCGGGAGTGACGAAGCTTTTCTGTCTTCAAGATCTCCCCTAAACCCGAACCCCCCATGCAACGTGTCGGGTTGAGGGGTTTAGGTTTAGGACTTAGGAACCACTATTGTATGACCGTATTCAGGTTCGTGCCGCCTATCCGAGTTAAAAACAATTGTCTACGCAGATTCTTCCACAACTCCGGAGATCTCACGAAAGAGGGCATCTTAAATTTAGTTTTATCTATTAACTCCGTTATTCTATGCCTGAGACTGCCTGAGTGAAGGTTTTTGGCTTCCGTGGAGTGGTGGACGGCATCGTACACGTTTCCACAGGTTTGAGTTGTTTAGGACGCAACGGCATCAGCTCCCTAGTTGGAGAAGCGTCTGTATTGCAGTGGTGGTTTGGTGTAAGGCTCTTCGACTCCGTACACCTGAAAACCGACACACCGAAGCCTCGCCGCTGCACCACAAACCCAGACCCTGCAAATCCCTTCGATCCTGTTGAATCCTTGGCAACGCCTTTGCAAATCCTTTGGAAAAAAGGGATCCCAGGGAGGAACGTGACACGCGGAGCTTTTGGCGCCCTTCAACAACTCACAACACATTGTCATGGTGCAAGAGCGCACGTGTGTATGTGTGCATATATATACACACATAAGCAAGCATCTGTCTGTACATACATATAGATACGTTCCTATAGGTACATGGATATACATACGTACATACATACATACAGACATACACACACTGTACAACCTGCAGATCGATTCATGCATATACCTACCCACCCACCCAGCCATCCACCCACCTGCCTACCTACCTACCTACCACCACCTACCTGCCGACCTCCTACGCAGTGCACACACGCGCATGTCAGCGGTATGGCTTTTCCATCCTGCTCCACACTGTGGCACATGGGTAGCTGGCCGACCGAACTACTCGGTAAAAATGCTTGGCTTTGGCCGCTTACTGCTGCGAGAGTGAGAGTGAGTGAGTGAGGAAGTGACTCAGTGAGTGAGTCATTGAGTCAGTGAGTGAGTCAGCGAGTCACTGAGGGAGTGAGTGAGTGAGTGCGTGAGTGCGTGAGTGAGTGCGTGAGTGAGTGCGTGAGTGAGTGGGTGCGTGCGTGCGGGTGGGCAAGTGATTGACTGACTGACTGACTGACTGAGAACGAGAGAGAGAGAGAGAGAGAGAGAGAGAGAGAGAGAGAAAGAGAGAGAGAGAGAGAGAGCGAGAGGGAGGGCCAGGGTCAGAGCCAGAATTTAAAGGCAGCAAAGATATTCAACAAATCACTGCTAAGCGTAATATAGATTGGAATAGGGATTTCCGGGTATATCATACTGTGATTATAAACAGGAACCGCAAGACAATAAACCTTGAACTGTTTTGCCTCAAGTTAGAAGTCCCGCTTGCCTCCCAGCAGTTGACGTGAGGGGCAAACGAGCTGCCCTGTGACGATGACGTAAGGGGTCGGGATGAACTGGTTGCTGCTGTTGGCCTCAGATTGTGCAGTCGCGGTAAGTTGTGGCCACCGCCTTGGGGGTTACATGCGCTGAACCCGAAAAACCAAACCCCAAATCCCGGCCCTAAGTTTGAAATCATGCCGTTCGATGATCCATCAGTCCCTATGAAAGCCCGATCTCACCTTTAGTCAACCTATCAAAGACTCCGACATCACCATCGAATTCTTGTGGCGACACACAGCCTACCCCCCAAAAGCCTTCTGAAAACCTGCAGTCACCTTCAGACCCATAGCAAGAAAGCTACATGCACCCCTACCCTAAAACCCTACACCCTAAAACCCTCAAACCCCCCAAACCCTAAACCCTAAAAACCCTAAACACACAACTTCACGCCAAGCCACCGGGAGATGCTCGTACATCTGAGGATCCACAGGCAGATCCGGCCCCCAGGCATCTGGGGCACCTGCTGCTTCCGTCTGATTCGAATCTGGACGTTTAGGGTTTCGACTCTCACACTCGCACAAGGCCGGCAGGGCTTCGGTTGGATCCTGTCTGAGGGTGATACCGCCCACAAGATTCTGCAGACATCATAACTTCAGATCAACAGTGAAACATCTGCCCGTTTAGGGTTTAGGGTTGAGAGGGTTTTAGGGTTTGGGGCTTACGGCTCCAAACCCTGAACCCCGAAACCGATGCTGTATCCTCTGAAACCCTGTACCCTTAAGCCCACAACCCTGAAGCCTGAACCAACCGCAGAGAACCTGGTAGATTCTTGAACAACAGCTTCTCAAAGACTGCCGAGATCGCTTTAAGCTTAAGGGGAAAGCCTTGGGTCCTTTGATTTTGGGGCCTTCATAACTTGAATAAAGGTTTTGAGCTCCTTCATAGTGTATATGTATATATATATATATCTCTCTCTCTCGTTCTTTATCTACTTATTTCTCGATTTATGTATTTATGTAGTTATGCAGTTTTGTATTTATGCATTTATTAGTTTGTTATTCATATTCATGAATTTATACTTGTATTTATATATACATTTATTTGTATTTGTCTGTGCTTGTTTGTATTTAGTTCCATTAAGCTATATGAATTTCATGTACAACAGAAACCCTTAGAATAAGATTAATACGATTTTGTGGCCCCTGTAGGTTTGCGATTTGAAGAAGCAGCCTGCGAGGCTTGCACGGCTTCTGACGTTTCTCAAAGGACTCATCGTTTTATTGAACGCTTCGACACGGCCTCACGTGGTTTACGTGGTCTTCCAATTTGTTGAACGATCTCCTAGGACATGTTGAAGGCTTGCTTTCAGTGCTTCATGACGCCCAGGTTCTAAAAATCCAGAGCACCGAGGCCAAGAAAAGCTTCATCCGGCTTTGAGTTGGAAAACCAGGACCCCGCACCCTATACTGAGCATCACTACAAGAACGGTAAGCAAAGCAATCAGACTGTAGCATCAGAGAAATGGCAACAACAGTAAGGCAACAACACTTCGTCCGATAAATACGTGGTAGTTTTCCTATTACTTGTGTACTGTTATTGCTACTACAAGAACAACCATGTAACAACACGACCCTAAACCCCAAAAAACTAGGCCCTGAAACTCTTAAATCTGCGCCCACCTCGAAACTCTGAAACCCGCAGCCCGAAACCCTGAACCCTCGAAATTGCCCCCAAAGGGATCCTTAAAGGAACCCTTGCAGAAACCACCAAAGAAGCAGCCGCAAAGATCCGAAAGAGCCGAGCCACAGTCACAGGGATGTAGCCAAAAGTCGGCGGGCTGGGCTGTTCCGGGGTCATCCAACACCAGGGCCGGCTGACCCTCTTCATCCTGTTCCTGTGCTGCGTGGGGTCTTGCTGTAAGGAAATAAGGTCTAGAGGTCTAGAGGTCTAGAGGTTTAGGGTTTAGGGTTTAGGAATTTAGGCTTATAGTGGATTGAACGGTTTCAGGATCTACGGCTTAGTTACTTTAACTTCTTGCTTTACTTGGATGTGGCTACGAGATGTAGGGCTTACAGTGACAGGTGACATGAAGCTTCGCTTTCATTCGGCATTGGTCCTCCAAGCAAACACCCGGCACTTCTGCTTGTCAGCTGCTTAGACAAATGTCCTTGGACAATTCTGAATGATACCACATACAATTTCTATGTATTTTGTCTTGAAGCTTTAGGGTTTAGGGTTGAGGGTTTAGAGGCTTAGGGGCTTAGGGGCTTCGGGTTTAGGGAACCCTAAGCCCTAAACCCTAAACCCGGTGGAGGTCGCAGGGCCTGGCAAAAATTTGGGGTGAAGCCCGAAAAGCCAAAAAGCCGAAGCCTGCCGAACCCTCAGCCCGACAAAAGCCCAAACAAGTACCCCTCAATCCCCGCCGGCAACGCGCATTGCTTTCACAAGCGAAAGCCGGAATCCGGAATGTACATCAGTTTGTTCTAGCGTGTAGGGTTTAGGGTTTTAGGGTATACGATCGCTACACCCTGTTAGGGTCTCAGACTTGACTTGGGGATCTTACCCAGATTCAGTGCTTAAGGCTCCACATTAGGCATGGCGCCTGCTCTTCGATCCAAGCCAACGCCTTCGTGGGACACCTGCTGGCAGCTGCTAAAGCCACTTGAGGTCAGGGTATGGCGCCCGTCATGATTGAAATACGACTGTGTGGTACATTATGCCTTGATCAAGATAGGTAGGTAACCCTACGGAATCAGAGAAGTATGACTAAATATTGAGACCCGTGCGATGCAGAAGCCTGACTACGTGCCAGTAATGTTCCTCAGGGCTCCCTTGGTAACTATAGAAGAATGTACCCACCGTCGAATCATTAAGACCCCTAGATTCTTGGACATACTTCTACCCCTAAATCCTGAACCCTAAACAAACCATGAAGACCTATAGATTCTTGGGCTCCTGTCTGCTTTGTTCTGGCTTTCTCCATGGAGATGGAGACGGACACGACTGGGTTTAGTGCTTGCCTGAAGAACCACGGGTATGTATGTGTATATATGTACATATATATATATGTGCATATATATATATATATATATATATATTTTTTTTTTTGGGGGGGGGGGGAGTGTGTGTATATATATACATATACATTTATATATGTGTGTAAACATGTAAATTTAAGAGAGGAGAAAGAGGGGGGACACACAGAGAGCAAGATAGCGTCATGTGGTATAAACGAACTGCGGAAACTATGGCAACATTCATCATCTGTCTTCCGAACTTTCACAACTGTCATCCTGTTTTCCGCGGACAAGTCGTGCTATGTGCAAGGCGTACAGTACATCAAGTAACACTTTCGGTCCAAGCAAGCCCAGCAAATTAATGTATGCTCCGGTCAACGTTCTGGAAATTTGGGTTCCAGGTCTTTTGGTGTGGAAGGGGGCTTGAAGCCTGGCCCAGATGCACATTTTTCACCTGAGCTCTTGTATTTCCTCAAAGCTCCAGAGCATTGAAACCCAAACCAAACCGAACGCTCTAAACACTGATATTGGCGCCATGGGGCCTCAATATTCAGAATAGGGCTTTGGGGTATAGTCGAGTAGAAAACTGAATCAGCAACCCTAACATAGAATTACTATATAGGCTTGGCCACGGTCAGACCCCTTGAAATTGGATTTGCTCTCCAAGCCCCCTCGACCGGAGATTCTGACCGCGGAAAGTGGGCTTGGTGAGGCGAACCCTAGGGTTTAGGGTTTAGGGCCTCAGGTTTTTTTTAGGGTTTAGGGTCTACGCCCCTGATTTGCTCCAAAAACCGAAAAACTGGATTTCGACATAGCTGAGCTTGCCACCACGAGAGAGCGTGTTCCACGGAGGAGCTGCTGATGCAGGCGTGCCGGGCGCCACGGAGCTCGAAAAGGCCAAGAGCCTGACAGTGCTTTGGTCTGTTTCTGTGTCTCTCTGCGTCCCTGTCTCTGTCTCTGTTCGTCTGTCTCTGTCTGCCTCTGTCTGTCTGTGTCCTTTCAGGCCATGGATTGTAGAGCAGCTCTGAAGGACCACCAAAACCGGCACCATCTGGCGCACGACTTTCACCCCGCCAGCCCGACATCAAAACCCATGGTTGAAGGCTTGGTTTTTTTTTTCACTCCTGCACAGCTGGGGCGAATCCACATCGCTTGGGGTTTAGGGTAGCGGGTTTTCATTGGCCCTGTGTGCTGCAAGCCCCGATGCCCGATGCCTGGTTGCTGCCGAAAGGCGGGGAAACTAAAAGGATCCGTGTTCGCAAAGGATTCCTATAGCCTAAACCCCCCTCATACCCCTGGGCCCCGGAGGGCCTTGTCGATGAAGTCTGCACTTGAAGGTGCCATCAACGCCCACTCGTTAGCACCACAACCGCCGCTGGATCCCTCACGCAGGTACCTAGACTGGGGATTTAGTTTAAGTTACCATAATAGCGATCTATGGCAATACAAAGTTTCTTTTCTTAGCAGCATAAAGTAGATCCCCTACCAAGAACCCAGTAGAAGACTTCTTTGTTTTTGCAGCTTTGTGGGTGTGCAGTTTAGGCGACTTGTTAATTCGCACGTTGCAGGGGGCGGAAGGCCGATACCGTCCTCTTGGTTGCAACCATGACTTTGCTTTTTCTAAGGGCCTCAGTGCCGTGACGGTTTTGGGTTTAGGGTTTAGGTTGCTTGGGGTCCCGGGGACCTCTTCCTCTCTCGAATGCCAGTGACAATTGATCAGTCCAAAGCGAGCTGTGTTTTCTTTGAGGTTGCGTTCCAAGTGAATCACGGCGTTTAGGAGGAGCTCACCAACTTCAAGAAACCTAATTCGAGGCATAGGGTGTAGGAACTATGAGGGAGGCGACAGTAGTTGATCACGATATCCATAGAGAACCGGCAGCCGCAAGCCCTGCATCCACAGTCTCCAAGCTACATCATGTCCTGCTGCGTGACGTACTCGCGAAGGTACACGATGCCACCCAACACGGCGTCTCTGCCCAAAGGGCAATACGTACCAGCAAGGTACCATTCGGAATGTGTCACCTTCATACCTGCAGCATGAAACACGGCTTGTCAAGTTCATGCTGTTTGATACCACCACCACACCAGGCTTGGTGTTGCTTTGTTCGGCAGCACTCATGTGGACGTTGTTGCTTCTTCATACAGCATGCTACCATTGTGGTGGCCATTGTGCTTGTTCTAATTACCGTAATTCTGTACACTGTCGGAAAAACACGAAGACAGTGTCTCCTCTATACTATCTGCTGAGCGCGGTCATTTAGAAGTTGAGGCTTGTAACTTTAAGGCTTCGAGTTTTGGGGTCAAGGTCTTGGGGTTTTCGGGAGTGCGGGTTCTCATTTGGAGCCGGGCATGTCGATAAAGGCTAGATGCTGAGAAACCCAATGATATTCACCTAAACGGACCTGAACCCTAAACCCTACCGCCTTAAAGGGACCTGGCGAAGTCGCCACGATCCATCGCGAACCCGTTAGTGGAGAAGTGCAGCAAGATGAGTGAAACTGCTTGTGTTACATCGCAGCAAGGATGCATGCGCTTAAGGCCACAAACATCCTCGACAGTGATCCCCACATTTGCGGACGTGGAACAGGTACCCTCGTTGGTGCAGTTAGTGACCTTGGCGATGACCGTGACCGGGTTCCCGTCCGAGCGAACATCATACCTGCAGGACGTAGTGGCGATATGGAGTTTAGGGTCGGTTTAGGGTTTCGGGGTTTAGGGTTGAGGGGACTAAATTCAAGCTTTAGGGTCTGGGGTTTAGGGCACCCCGGGGTTTAGGGCACAAGAACCCAAACCCAAAAGTCGCGAAGCCGAAATCTCAAACCATGCATCGTAAGCTCAAGATGCCGATCTTTTCACTCCAGGGCTCAGAGAAAGATGGCTTGATTCGGATTGTCCGGGTCCGTTGGACAGACGCAAACCCCAAATCCAAGTAACCCCTTGCGAAATCGGAGCCGCAATTGAGCAACCGCAGAAGCTCTAAACCGCTACAAACCTTACATTAACTCCGAACAAAACCTCGTGAGCCCCACCGATAAAGAAGCCGATAAGAGCCCCACGAGAGAGCCAAAAATCCTGTCAAGCCCCCCAGAAGCTCTTGGAAGAACCTGAAAGAGCCCTGCCTCATGCACCGGCTCCCAAACTTGTAGTTCGCGCAGGTTTCGTCTGCTCGGCAGTGGGATCTGCACATGGCCTCCCGCTGAGGTCAAGGGTGCACTTGTGCAAGGTTTGAGAGTTGAGGGCTTAGGGGTGCAGGGTCTAACAGTCAGTAGGTAGACAAGCAGAACCAAGCAGACAGAAAGTTAAACAGATCTAGGGTTTGGGCTTTGGGGTGCAAGTATAAACGCGAAACCTAAAAGCCTTCAGTAAAGGAAGGTACCTGTAGTCGTGTTTAGAATCCAAACACTGTTTAAGGAATATTCATTGAACTGTTGGAGCTATGCGAGCCTCTTAATATCAAGGGTGCCTAACCCGAAGCCTTACCCCAGCGTCCGACGAGGACCCGTCTTGGCTTGAAACTCCCTAAACGTAAACTCTAGAGCCCTAAACCCAAACCTAAATTCAGTCGGGGTTCGCACAGGGGTTCCCTGGGACGTCAGGGGCTCAGGACCTTCATGTCTGGGTGGCAAGGCTAGAATTGGCTTCCTTGAAGGGTCCCTTTAAGGAAGGGCTCTTTAAAGGTTAGAGTTTAGGGTTTTGGTTGAGAGATTAGGGTTGTTCTGAATCAACAGGCCCTGATGTTCGCGTTGAGTTTTATCTGTACTTTTGCCTGGTTCTGAATTGAATCAAGTCGGCGTCCGGCCTAAGACATGGGCCAGAATAATTCAACTGGGATTTGGGGTACATCATAGCTTTATCTGACACTGTTACTACTTATTCAGACCTCAACGAGGTAGCCTGTGGTTTTGCAGCTTGGCGAGACAGTTTCAGGTGTTGGGTCTAGAGTTTGGGCTTGGCGGTGTTGGGTTTGGCCTTTGGGGTTCGGGGGTTTTGGGGCATGGGGGGCCTTGGAATTTCATGGCTTCCTGCCTTTGAGCTTCATGCTTCATCCTAAACCCGACTCTGACCCCTAAACCTCAATCCCTAAACTCCTAAACCCCAAACCCCTGAGGTTTGGGTATTAGGGGGCCCGCGTGTCCCAAACACGCTTCCGTCTGGGGCTTAGAACCCAGGGATGAGTGCTTTGCTGTTGATATTCGTACCCTTTTTAAAGCCCCCTTCGATTTGGGGGTCGGGGCTTGCTGCTGAGACCTTAATCTGTAACTGGGGTTTAGGATTTAGGATTTAGGGTTTAGGGTTTGTTCCAGACACGAGAGCTGCACCGAATCCCGCATCGACGGCGCACAGGCTCGAACACTCACCGCGCCACCCAAAGCCTCAACACCCTTAACATCTCATGGCAAACACCCAGAAGGCAGCTCCGGATACCCACGGGGTCCTCACTTGCCCTTCAACCAAAACGAAGCTCAAAATTCGGGAAGGCCTCCGTTCTGGCGCTAGGATCGGGCAGGCCAGTGCCCTTGCAGACTTTTCTTGTGTTGGGGGAGGGGTGGGGGGGGTTCAGGGCTTGAAGGCTTTGGGGCTTTAGAGGGCTGTAGAATCTTAGGGTTTCGGGACTTTTGGGTTGTGAGGTTCGGGGTTTGGGGACTTTTGGGCTTTCAGACTTTGGGGCTTTAGGCCTTTTGGGTTGTGGGGGCTCAGAGGATGCCACATGGTCAGCTGAGAAGTAAGGCCCTACTCGAAAAATGAGTTAGAGGGTGTTGTTTAGGGCGCAGGGTCTAACGGTTCTCGAGGCTTCGAGGGTTTAGGGTTTGACGTTTTCAGGTTAGGGCTTGGTGCTTTTGGGGTTCAGGCTTTAAGGGTGTGTTCGAGTAATGGAACTTCTCGATCGAATACATGCATGGCCTTTGTTCGGGGAATCCGATCTTAGGAAGGTGCTAGACGGCATAAACCTGAACACCTCAGGTTTCGTGTCCGGTGTTTTGGGTAGTGTCCGGGCAGAGGCATGAGGTTACTGCAAAGCGCACGCCCTATGAACACAGGTTTGCCCAGGGTTAGGCCCTTTGCAGTTGCCCTCTGCTAGAATAACTCTGATAGAATACCTCAAGCTCAATGCCCTGAACCTTTGAGCCCTAGACCCTGAACCCCAGAAAAAACCCTAAGCCTGCAGCACTCAAGTACCCCAACACCCTCTTGAAACTAAACGACCTGGAGCCTGTGACGGTTCTACTGTGCCCTGCTTAGGCCAGCTGCAAAAAGCGATGGACAGCTCAACAGGTGCAGAGATGCCTTGATGTTCTGTGGAACCCAGCACACCGTATCCTGTACTACGATGGTCAGAGTCGTCTCCACCTCAGCAGCATTTCAGGCTTAAACTCATCCGCGCAATGGATCACAGGAACTTGGTTTAGGGCTTTGGGTTTAGGCGCAGAAGTTAAAAGGGGCCTTCGCGTTTGGGCCTACCGACTTTCAGGACCCGGCATCCCTTTTAGGGGATCGCAGGCGCGTAAAAAAACCTGGTGACTTGGAGGTGCGGACGCTGTTTTCGCGTGGGTTTTAGCTGCTCAAGCACAGTCTGTATGTACATTTTCCAGGAACGCGAGAAATAGGTTAGGATGTCCCACAGCAAGGAACAGTGTAAAAACCGATGGTTTTGAACTTCATTTTGTGAAGCTACAGTTAGCTAAAATATGTGACACAGAAGTACACATCACTCCTTTCACTTCAAGCGTTCTAGTGAAAGGCCGCAATGGCGGCAAACAAGCACAGAAAACCATGGTTTTACGATGTTTTACGACATGCACACAGGGTCAGTTTGTGTAGAGGAGCAAAACGCTGTAAATACCGGTGTTTTTGGCATGGATAGAGTGACATGGTCGTAACCAACCCCCCCCCCCCCCCCCCCCCCCCCCCCAAAAAAAACAAAACTCTCCAAAAGTCCACGAAACAAGCAGGTTGTTTACGCTCCTGCTTCCTCTTAGGGTACTTATAAGTCTACTTAATACCTACTTACTAGGCCCCCACCCTCCAAGCATTGGACAAGACTTCCAGTTCAGTTAGTGCGCCGGCCTTTTTGTCGGGCCACGGGCAGCAACGGATCGAAGCCCGAAACCATTTCATGTTTTAGCTATTCTGTATTTGAAAATACAAACGAATAAATGAACAAAAAGGATAAATGAGTAAATAAGCAAATAACCCTGAAACCGTCCGTTAATTATTAAAAACAAACAATTGAAGAACATATTAAAGAAATACTATTTTTTTACATAAATTGGATGGTAAATGTAAGTTTTGCATGTTTAAAACGTGATATGTATGTAAAAATATGTATGCATATATAATACAATTAAATGAATAAATAATCAGTAGATATGTTTGTTGAGGTATGTCTGTAAGGGGACGGCCACAGGATCCGAAGATCAATCTCAGGGTCTCGGGACTGAAAATCTTAGGCTCTCATAATAATGTTAATAAAATCATGATGATAAGAATAATAGTAATAACAATAGCAATAATAGTAAGAATAAGAAGAATAATAAGAATAATAGAACAGGGTTCTGGTCTATTGCTTGTAATAGGGAACCCCCCAAATATAGTATTGGTATGTATGCAGGCCCCCTATTCGGCGTTTCGAGTTCAGGGGCTGCGGGTTCAGGGCTTCAGGGTTTAGGGTTTTAGAGGGCACCCCCCCCCACCCCCCAGCCACGAACCGACTTGGGGTCTAAGTCAGTTTGGGATTTCTGGCCCTAGGGTTTTAGGATTTACGGGGTTCAAAGTCTTGGGCTCAAAACTCGGTGATTTATACATACCCCATGGCTCGGCAAGCACTACGACGTTCGATTATCTAAGAGTAAGGGCCGATTGTGAAGAAACCACGAGAAAGCCTTTGCGAAACCTTGTAAACAAAGTGAAGGACCCTTATAAAGCCTTGACGGAACCCTGCAAAACCCCTTTTCAAGAAGCCCAATAAATTAGGTAATCAGTATTAATCAGTTCATCCAGAGAACACCAGAAGACCCTGTTTAGAAAAACAACTTAAAACAACGCAAAACTAAACTGACGGAAAATAAACTGACAGAACACCTATAACACTCCATGACACCCTTATAAGAAAGTCCCTACAAAACCCAGTGAAACTGCACAAAAGCACACAAAAGCCCTATCTCTTCACAAAGCTGGCAGCAGGGGTGCTGGAGGCAGCTCCGGATCGGGAAAAAGGCCGAAGACCCGGCATCCCAAAGTGAAGGCCTCTTGGGAACTTCCGTTTCTTTCCGTTTGGGTTTAGAGTTTTAAGGTTTTGGGTTGGTTTGAGGATTTTGGGGTTTAGGGGTTAGGTCTTAGGATTGAGGGTTTCATGGTGCCTTTAACGGGTTTGAGTTTCGGGACTCGGGGTTTAGGGTTTCACAGCTGCTATTCAGTACTTTTCAATGGCTATATGCTGTACAAGGATTTGGGTGGTAAGCTATGTTCTGAAGGTAAGGTTTGGGATAGGGTTTACAGAACGGTTTAGAGTCGGGTTTTAGGGTCTAGGGCTTTCGGGTGTAGGGTCTGTTTTGTACTCCCGCGGACTTTTGTTGGAAGCCGCGAGCTGGGGCATCTCTTGGAGGGTCTTGCCGTTTGTTAAGGTCGGGCTCAGGCCCCCAAACACCTACACCCTTACAGGCCCTTACACCCTTGTACAACTCCCCAGAACCGGTCAAAGCATCTAGCGTTTCGAGCTTGGGGTCAGCACTGAGGTTGCCTTGTTAAGTGGCTTGGTGGGCCCTTCCCTGAGCCTTGGGTCTTTGCTGTCGCTTGAAATGTTTGCGGCCTGTGTATTGGGCTCTCCCAAACTTGTCCGGGGTTTAGGGTTTAGGGGTTCTTATTACCAGTATTCCCTATACTGAAACCCAAAGTATACACTGACCAATGCTCCCAAGGAGCCCCATATACCCTCACCAAAAACCCTGCTGGATCAACCCTACTTCGAACCAGCCTGGGGGAACCCTGAACTAGAATTCTTCTAAACCCTATAGACCCTAAACCATAAAACCTAAACCCTCAACCCTGTGGAGCCGCCTGCTGTTCCAGGGGTGCACTGGTACCAGCAATCCCTAAGTTTAGGGTTTAGGGGACTTTACGCCGCAAGGAAGCAGATTTGCTGGGTAGTTCTTGCAGCTTTTGGGGCGGGCTTGAGATGAAGGGTTGCGG